TATATGACTGTTTATAAATGGTAATCTTAAAGTGCTCAAAGTTCAATCATAACCTTTAGTTCCAGGTTGAAATTTGATATTTAATGACATAAATCTGTTCTAGGACATATAAAGGAAAATTGCCTCTATCATTTTTGAGTTATCCAAATGCAAATTTATTTTGAATAATTCTTTATTTAAGAATTCATTTGCATTTGTTCAATATCTCTGAGACTTCCTTTTTGAAAAACTTAATTTTTCTGTTAGTTTCTTCTATGGATTAGTATTTGTGATGAGAGTTTGTTTCAATTTAAGAAAATGCGTTGCTGCACAGGTGAGGTAGTATTTGAATCACTTGAAAGTTCATGTCAGTGTTTTGATTCCTTTCAATTTTTTCTTTTTCTTTTCTTTATTTCAATTTATTTATTTGCTTTGTTCAGTTTTGTTTTATTTATTTACTTCTGTTTTTAGTTACTACAGGGTGTTTTGGGCTCTTCATGGCCTTGCTAACATACTTGGCTGGCCATATTTAGTCTGCGTACTAATTGTTAGTTGGCCCAGTTGAGTCTTACTTTGTGCTCTCAGTTTTTTTAGTCTGGTTTTCTACTTTTGTCCACCTGGTTGTGTTTTAGTTCATGAGAGATTTCTATTCTGATGGGCCGGATTTTAATCCGTGTACTAAATTTTAGTCTGCAGACTAAAAGTAATCCGCGGATTATTTATTTTTGCAAAATATTTAATTCGCCCACTGGAAACTATCCTAAAAGAATGTTAAATTCTCTTAGAATAGCCAAGGGAATTCACAGCTACTGGTGAGTTCTGCCATTGTTTATTCTCAATACCTAGACATAATAGACCCTACCACCTCCCTTGCATATTTGGCTCCTTTGTGCCTAGGTGTTGGTGTACATTATTATGCATGTCACCTATAACTGTGACTGTCCCTTAGTTGTATTGTTTATTGTATATATTTTTGTTTAGCTTTTGGTGGGTGAATTGGGCATATTTGCAGATAGAACTGTGTTGAATTTGTAGTGCTCAAAGACATAGGATTTTTTTTTCCAGTGAGTTTTTCCAAAAAGGAAAGAACGTTATATATTTATTTTTCCTAAGTAATGGGTGCAAGGGTATGAGGGGGCAAAGCCCACAATAGAAAATGTAAGTTTATACCCGCACTCCTGAGGTGATAATGTCTATTCCTGAAGAGTCCTAAGATAATGAGAATGTCAGCAAATATCTTTTAGCAGGGAAGTCAATCCAAAATGGAGAATAATCCGCGGTGGCCTGATCCTTCTTAGCTCACACAAATTGGAAATATTTGGCTTGAAATCTATAATAATACAAATTAAATATATATATTACTTTCTTCTCATCACTAATAATTTAGCAAGAAAAATGTTTATACTGTATAACTGGAATATGTTAATAGAGGAAAATTAGCATATTGGGAACATATCTATAAAGCTATCTTAAATGCCCCTTCCCAGCCATGTCAATGGATGATGAATCCAGGTCATAGAAGACCAAACACTTTACTTTGGGAACTTTACTTCTAGATTTCATTTTGATTTTAACTTTTTTTGGTTTTGTATTTTTTTAATAAATGCACTGGCATTGGAACATAATATAAATTAAAATTAAAATGTTTCTTTACTGTGCCTCACCATTGCGCAATCAAAAAAATTTTTTTGCATACACTGTGGTGAAATAATTTTTAAAACTTGGACTTGCTACTGTGGAGACTGATGTTTAAAGTTTATAACTGTATAAACATTTTCTATGTCCCCCCCACACCTTGGATTTCTTATAACACTGGATATATTTTTCCTTGCTGGACTATTCTCTTTTGGATTGACTTCCCCTGTTTGGATTATTTCACTGCATTATCATCTTTAGGATTCATCAGGAACAGGACATTTCAACTCAGGAGTGCGGGTATGTACTTAATTTTTTTTCCCAAAATTTCAGGGCAGGTTATGAAACTAGGGGGAAAACTTTTTGAAAGGCTAAACAATTATTTGTTCTTGGAATGTAACAGAAAAAACAATGTAGATAGCTCTGATTTCTCTTTTCATTCACTGTATGATACAGGTTTTGCTTATGGTATAGCTTGTCAATCTTCTTGAGTGACTTATTGACATCAAGACTGAAGTTTAGAAATTATGGGATTTGAAAATTGTTTATAAATAATTATTGATAAAGGTCTATGGAACCCAAGGTTCTGAATGTTAAGCAATTGCAGTAAGTGAAGAATAAAGCAGAAACTTCTTTCAAATTGACTTTTAATAAGACAAAGGACAAAGTAGTTATTTGTGTCCTTTCCTTTATTAGACACAAAGATAATTCAGAAGAATTGTATTCTAGTTTGGAATGTAATTTTTGGAAGTTGCTTGCTACCACACCCTTTATTACGGTAAAAATCTAAACTTGAGGAGACCCTGGTTTTTGCCCTCATATAAATGTCCACTTAACCTTTATAAAGTATTGAACCAAAGGTTTTCTCATCAGGAATCTTTCAAAGGGCTTTAAGTAATAATGGGTAGATTTTTAAAAGGCAGGCCAAGTCTTGATTTTAATGTAGGTTCTTGGAATGAATGCCTTTATTTTTTTTTTAATCTGATTCCATAAGTCAGGATTCCCTGGCAAAATATGCTAATGTGCGTCTTAGTGCTACCCTGACGGTCCTGTATACTAACTAGCCTGTAAGTTACCAGAAAGATGTGGGTGACTCTTTTTTAATAACCAGAGATAAGATTACAATAGTGATTTATTAATAGCTTTATAAAATCTTCATTAATATAACCGGAAATTTTTAAATTTAAATTACCTCACTGTCCAGCTACCCGACATTTGAATGTTAGCAGGAGATACTTATTTCTACTTTTAATTCTACTTACGTGCCTTCCATATTGGTGCAAAAGTATTTTTTATTATACTAGTTAGCAAAATAAATCCATATGCTTTCAAATAAGTGTAAACTGTACTCAGGGATAAAATATGTCAGTAGTGCTTAATATTTTTATTAATTTTCCTACTGACTACTTTCTTTTACATGTGAGTTGGATTGTGGTCCTGGCGGGGAGCACGTGAGGAAAAAATGACCAGGAACAGTAGAAAAATCTAAACGTTTCAAATAATACAGTAACGTTGGGTTTTCTTGATTGAGGCAAGTCAGGTCACTCAAAAGAATGAAAGATAAAGCAGGTTGTTGTTATTTACCTTACAGAGGTTTTTCTAACATAGCCAAATAAATTACCAAGGCCTTCATTATTCTAAAATACATCCATGAGATCCTGCTTAAATCAGCTTCTCAGTTTCCATGGAAAATATATTTATTAATAAACTTTTTGTAAAAACAAGAGGAAAAAAAAGGTTTTCTTTGTACAAAGTACTTTTTCCCCCATCTCTTGAAATCTAATGAGCTCTGTTCTCCTACCTTTAGTCTAAGTGAATGCCCAGATTTACGTGAACCATTCTCATTAGGAAACCTTAGCCTCCGAGGCTCCTCCATACCATGTCACAATCTACATATCCTTTGCTCACTTGTGGGTCTGTTTCCCTCCATTTATACATTTCTGCATTTTTTTTTTTTTCAATCTTCAGCTAAGGATACATTTTTCCTTTGTTTTTTAGAGAGAGTGGAAGATAGGAAAGTGGGGGGAGGGGGGGGGGACGGACACTGACATGACAGAAACACATCAATTGGTTGCCTCCTGCACATACCCCGACTGGGGCTGAGGATGGAGCCTGCAATCCAGATATGATGCCCTTGGCCAGGAATCACACCCATGACCCACTGGTACAAGGACTGATGCTCCAACTACTGAGCAATATTGGCCAGGGCACTTCTTTTTATGTCTGTTAATTCCACCACTGCTACTACCACACTTTATGTTTGAGTCTATGTTCTTCCTATTAAGAGAAATAGGTTTCATTTTTTTTAGCACACTTTTTAAAATTTATTGATTTAGAGAGAAACAATCTGTTCCACTTATTGATGCAATTCATTGGTTCTTTCTTGTATGTGCCCTGACTAGGGCTTGAACCTCCAACCTTGGTGCTCAGAACAAAGCTCTAACCACCAACTGAGCTACCCCAGGCAGGACCAGTATTTACTTTTTTTTTTTTTTTTAAGTTTCATTTTTCCCTTCTGTTTGTATTCTCTGTCCATAATTTAAGATGAAGTATATTTTCATAGTTTTATGTATTGATTAGGGATTTTAAGACATAGGTAAGTAGAAAGCTTTCTATTCCTTTAAGTAAATTTATTTGCATTTTGCTTCAATTGACTTTTTCTGTGAGTTTATGGTTCTTAATGAAAACTCCATTTCTCTCTTCATGATTAAAAAAACCCTAGAGTATTCATACAGTTGAAGGTAATCTGCCATGTTTATGAGTAACAGCTACTTGAGAAAACAATTTTTGGAAATTCTGTCAAATTCTAGATATTCAGGGATTTCTTCAAATAATGATAGGTTCCATTTATTAACAAGATAATATAAAATCATTAACATTTATAGACTTAGAGTAAATAACTTTTCTTTTTTAAAAGATATTGATCGCTAGATTTAAAATGTGCTCTCTCCATTATCAATAGTTGTTCTACTACAAATCACACAAAAGAGGCAAACTTTTTATCTACTGTCACTGCAGTCAAAAGTTAAAAAAAAAATTATATTCCTTTAAAGCTTTTTTATATTCTTCACGTTTCTGCCTCCAGAATTTACCTTTCTCTTGTACCTGTCTTATTTTGTGTGCATGTTAGATTGTTTTGCTTTATGACTAGCATATATAGATTTTTTTTTTCCACTTCCAGTTTTTTCTCTGAGCTTTTCTCATATAGTCCTTAATTAGCAGTTCATCACAGTGTGGTAAATTATATGGAGTTAACTCTTTTCATTGTAGAAGGTTACTTTCACAAATGCAACCATGTTTTTGTATGTGGTGAGAATTCTCAGTAATCAGGATAAATTGCTAAGATTCTTAAACATTAATTGTTCTTTCCCTTTTTTGTACTGCAGGTTTTCCGACCCCGAACTCCACCAGAGGCAATTGCACTGTGTAGCCGTCTGTTGGAGTATACACCAACTGCCCGACTGACACCACTGGAAGCTTGTGCACATTCATTTTTTGATGAATTACGGGACCCAAATGTCAAACTACCAAATGGGCGAGATACCCCTGCACTCTTCAACTTCACCACTCAAGGTAATTTCAAACACTTAGCTCTTTCACCATTTCCGAGAAAGGGGTACATGGTTGTGAAGTGACACTCTTGATTAAAACCTGTAGAACAAAAGTGAACATTCTAAGTCTTATGCAGATGGGAAAGAACCTTTTATTAGACCACTACTTGTACGTTAGATAAAATTTTTCAAATAGGCTTAACTTCTCTAATTTTTAGCCGACTATAATAAATCTTGGCATATGAAAAGTTATAGAGATTTCACTAATATGATCTTCAGATTTGTATCTGAAACTTAGAACATGTGGCATTTCTTGCTTCCCACAGGTTTATATCAAGTTTTATAAACCTAGGAACAAACTGGTGGCTATATTTTTTTTTTTAAATTGAGATATCTTAAAAACGGGGAGAACTAGAGTGCTATAACTCTTTCTTAAAACTGATATAAGTGATATAGAGAAATTCCCATCCTCTCTATAGCTTGGCACCACTGCTGCTGCTGAGAAAACAAATATTCAAAGGAAAACTTGAGTATTAACATTGCTGGTTTATAAAAGATTCAGGAATAAACATTTCTTCACCACTTCTATGTTCTCTCTTTTCTCTTTAATTAAGTCCTTAAATGATTCATTTAATTAACTACACTGCCTCTAATGATGTGATTTTCTTGAGAACTGAACATTAAGAGAGTACAATTTCCCATAGATAAAATAAGCAATAAATAAACCATTGATTGATTAGTCTGCTGCTTAGTCAAGCTAAAAATAGAGACAGGGAGCTTTCTATGATGAGGAAATAGATATATCTTTTTTATTGTTGCTGGTGAAATAGACGTGAATGATTCTGTTTTTTGTAATCTTAAGCTGTCAATGTTACATAACTACTAACAATGCTAATGTAATCTTAAACTACATTCATAAAAGAAAAATGTTCACATATCTTGGGACAGTTAATTTAGACTTTAGGTCTGATTAGAAATCATATGGAATGTTGTTTTTTGGTTTTGGCTATGCAATTTTAAGAAGAATATTAATGAATGGCAGAATTGAATATAGAACCTAGAAAAATGAAGACTTAAGAGACTCCCAAAAGTTGCCTAAAAATACCTCAAAGATTGTTTTCTAAAGAATGCGTAGACATATTTTTTCTCCAGATTGCAAAATTGAAAATAGTTGCAGAAAATTAGAGCAGTACACATTTGGGCTTACTATAAATATTTCAGCCCCCGGCACAAATAAAGATTGAATAAAGCTATTAAGATTCAATGAAGTATTCAGTTGTTTAGCAGTAGAATAAGTTATTTTCAAAACATTGATCTCTGTATCAGGAGGAGAAAGCTGAATAATGTCAATAATGTAAATAAGATTACTTCGATTTGGCAGAAGGTTAGATTGGGACACTCTTCTTGACCTCTTATAGAGCAAAGTCATTCACCTCACTTCCTCTCATCACATTGTATCATCTTATATCATCACAAGAAGGATAAGTACAGTCCAATAAGCTATTTTGAGAGAGAGAGCTAGCACATGCACATTCACATAATTTTTATTACTGTATGTTTTTTTATAATGGTTCTATTTTATTGTTAGTCTCTTATTGTGTCTAATTTATAAAATAAATCTTATAGGTATGTATGTATGTATAGGGAAAAAACATAGTATATATAAGGTAATATATATAAGGTTCAATACTATCCTTAATTTCAGGCATCCACGGAGGGGTCATAGAATGTATCTCCTTTGGATAAGGGGGACTGCTGTAATTACATTTGATTTATTAGTCACTTTCATATAAGTGGAGTCATTTTAATATGTTACTTTCTGAGTCTGGCTTCTTTTAGTAACGTAAACCTTACCATATGAACAGAACTGTGAAGAGTAAACACGAGCCCAAACCGGTTTGGCTCAGTAGATAAGAATGTTATCCTACGGACTGAAGGGTCTTGGGTTCTATTCCAGTCACAGGCACATGCCCAGCCCAGGGGAGGGCGGCGTACAGAGGCAGCCGATTAATGATTCTCTCTCATCTTTGATTTTCCTCTCTCTTCCTCTTCCTTCCTCTCTAAAATCAACAACAAAATATTTTTTTTAAAACGAGTAAAAACTTGAGAAAAATACAGTATTGTATTAAACTAAAGTAAAGCTTTAGAACAATGCTAACTGCAATTAGCTGTTTGTTACAGTGCCATGAGTATGAGTTATTAGCCATAAATAGTAATTGGTATTACTTTCATATAATCAAAGAAGTATTTCTGTGATCAGCTAGAGCAGTGGTCAGCAAACTGAGGCTTGCTGACTAAGGAGTTTGCCAATCTGTTGAACTAATGAGTTTGCCGACCACTGCGTAAGGCATTACCCTTACCCAGAAGTTTTGACTTCAGGTTAAAGACATTATTAGTACATTATGAAATCTTTTTTAAGTGTTTTTCCCTAAGGCAGTGATCAGCAAACTCATTAGTCAACAGAGCAGCAAACCGTGGCTCGCAAGCTGCAGTCTGCCGACCGCTGAGCTAGAAGGAGAAGAAAGATGATAGATAAGAGACAGAAAACGTTGAGAACCTTCTGACATCCTGGATCCTCAACTTGGGATCCAGGCTCTGGGCTTCAGTGTTCTAGGATCCTGGATTGACAGTATTATCTGCATCCAGACATTGGAAACCAGATCATACCTTTGGCACAACCCCTTTCCTCCAGTCATTGGATTTCAAAGTGGATATAACTGAATCAAGCTTTAGAAAGTAGGTGGAGTCAGGAAATCCCAACAGGGATCAATATTTCTTTTTATTCACCAAAATATTTCTTTTTCCTCATCAATTCCTTGCCTGTTCCAAAGCTGGAATATATTGGGAAATAGGTTGTTTTGTATGTTTAAAGGTGTGTCTCTAATTAACCTTGCCACAAACATCCCTCCACCCCAATTTTCTACCCAAATTGGTACGAAATTTTATCAACAAATTATTTTAACAACATGGTGGGTTTAGGACAGGACAGGGGTCGCCAGGGGTAGGTAAAATGATCAGTCATTAATATTAGTATGGTTTAATTTGAAGAGTTTACTACTCTACAACTTAGCTGGGTTATCTGAAAGAAAGGCAGCTTTATGGGGAGATGAGGAAGAGTGGATTACTGGCTAGGCAAGAAGAATGGAGAACTGCTTAAATGAGAGTAAAAATAGGAAATTTGGAGCAGACAGAGGGCAACAAACTCATTCAGATGTAGATAGATGTCTTGGAGTACAAGGGCAAGGGTATCTGGATGTGAGAAAAGCAGATGGTGAAATAGAAAGGGACATCCAGAAAGTAAGTAAAAAAAGGACACTAAAAGAGAGAAAGAACCATAAAAGGATCAGAGAACAATTTTTAAGTGTAGGAATGTGTCACAGAATAGAAAGTGATGCAAACACCATTGAGAACAAGTTGGGGATAGGCAACTAAAGCGGGTGTTCTGGAAGCCCAGCTCATCAAAAGGCTATACTTTTTCATTTGATATCAGTAGACTACTTATTTACAAAACTTATGCAACTCATTATTTATGATAATTAGCAGGTTCTATGATCTTTGTAGCAGTAATTTTAAATCAGTTTTCCTGTTATAAAAGAGCAATTCACATAAATATGATCAGTCCAACTCTTTGCCTGCCTTTCTATGTCCTAGGCATATTCTTCTAGCCTGCCTTATCCTGACCCACATAGTAGACACAATGTCTCAACCACCTGAAGTAATGAAGTACCTTCCAATATTCTCAAATTATTATAAGCCTTAATTTAGGACTTTTCGGGTTTTAGCATATCTTATTACATTTTCAATGGCAAGGATAAATTGATGTAAAATAGGAACTCTTTCAGTCCTCACATGAGGACACGTTCATTAATTTTAGAGTAAGGAAGGGAGAGAGAGAAATATCGATGTGAGAGAGAAACATACGTGCTCCCAACTTGTAATCAAACTTGCAACCTTCGGTGCATGGTACGATGCTCCAACCAACTGAGCCACACCAGCCAGGGCAAGATAGGAACTTGACTTTTATGTAGGATATGAATCAGATTATAAAGTGAAACTCAAACTGCTCTAATTTGCAGTGCCCCTCCATTTAAAAAAAATTAAATTGTAAACCTTTCTTGTGGCTATCCCTGTTTTCTATTGTGTTCTTTTGAGTGATGATGGCTATAAAAAGGGTTTTTTTTTTATAAGACAAAGAACTTGAGAAAATTTTGGGTATAAATAAATGGATTATTCTGTAAGTAAATGAGAAGTAGAGCTGTTCATACTTAAATTGATATCAGAATTACTCTTTAATAATTTATAAGCGGTCCAGAAGAGCATATTTTCTAGATAAGCAAGCTGTACTCTTCTAGGTATTGCAATGCTAAATTGGTGAAAATGCACTACAGGAAGAGCTTGAGAAAATTAATGGGTGGCCTCAAATTGGTAGGTGGCAGATTAAATAAGCAAGGCAACTTACCAAACTTGTATTGTTGACAAGACAAGTAGATCTTAGCACTCATCTGCCAAATCTTAAAAGGTTTTGTAGAGGCCTTACTAGGTTTAATCACATAGGGGCCCATAACTGGGGTCAGTCATATGCTCAGTCCAAATAATCTCAACACCACATTTCTATCTTCAGGCTGTATCTTCGGAACAGCTTCTAGGAGCAGGGAAAGCAAACATAGCGCACATTCCAAAACGCAAGGGGAGGGCGGGGGAGGAGACTCTGGTTGTGTCCGATTTGAAGGTCCAACATGTGATCATATCTTCTTGATGACCTTCCCCATCAAGTATTCCATATGAAAAGAAGTAAGTCAGACCTAGCATTAGTTTCTAGTCTTTAACTAGTTGTAGACCTTGGTCAAGGCATTAGTATAGAGTTTCCTCACTTAAAATAAATATATTAGTAGGAGTAAAGAATATTCAGGGACACTTCTAGCTCCAAAATTCTGATTATAAAAATGAATTGACTCTACAGAAAGACAATGAAAATAAGAAATAAAGCTAAAAACATAGGCCATGCTAGGGTGAGATGTGTAA